GGTTATAATAATATTGATCTTGATGGTCTTGTGGTTCAGCAAACCGCTTTACATACAATGGTCGCGGGTTCAATTCTTTACATTTCACACTTCAAATATTTGTATTCATGAAGTAACGATTTTGCCTTTATCTGGGTGTTTTCTATCTGTATTATGTATGTATTTACAAAACAATTATTTAAGTATTTCTATCCGTTGTACCAAAAACGCTTAACTTGCAACAAGATGTCGCTGTTTGAATTGTCGTGGATTACATTACGTTATAGTTTCAGATATAAGTAATTAAATAGTAAATATCAGTATCCCAACAAAGGGGACAAACAACCTTCCCATCACCTGTAGGTAAGTGATTACAGCAATCCATGAGCATCCAGGCGAATTACAAGTTTATTGCTCGCTTTTTAAGAAGGAATAAGCTCTTTTCTTAAAGGTTTCAATATCGTACCGGTTCGAATATACCATTGCTGGAAAGTGATTCCCCATATATCTGGAAAACTCACGGTCTAGAACCGTCATTCATCAAGACGATCAGGATGGTATTTTATTTTTTGGCGTGTGGTGCGATGGTGAAATTCAGCAACTGGTATTAATCCGAACCATTCTTCAATACCTATATGTCCGTGATATATGCGGAAGACAATGAACAGGGATGCACTGTCTCGCCGCAAAGCCTATGTGGCGAGTCTGTCACAAAGAACTCGATCCTTACCATTCAGATAGCCATCTACTCCAGTTATTTATAAAAGTCAATATTATGGATGATGAAAAGTAGAAAGTATCTATATCTATGGGATCGGGTCGAATTAGACTAAAAAGGCTCGGTGTCAACAAATCAAATAACAGTCAATTTCCGAGTTTATAAGCACCTATATGGATGTGCAGTTTTGTTCAGATGGGTATTGTTTTTTACAATGTGGCTCAAACTTAATTAACATACTGCATTGCTTATATGTCGATGTGGACTTTAGTTTTGTTATGAGATATCATTTAGATGGGTCTCTAATTTTACATGATATGTTTTGTACGCACTTAAGGTTTGACAATAATAAAATATTTGAAGTTAACTGGAACAAAACAAGGTTTATTATATAAAATATTTAATAATCAACAACTTAATAAATAATTATCAAACAAATTCTTTGCATCAAAACTGTTTAAATATTACAGTATAGGGGTAAGTGTGCGCAGTAGTGCGGGTAAGTGTACGCCACATGTAACATACAGTAAATATAGTCAGACTCATACGATAAACCAGAAAATAGACATCCTCAACCTAATAATACATAAATTCAAATATTTCCTTTTCAAATTTATGCATTGTTCTTGCCACCAGCTCTTACAGATGCTGTATTGGATCCAGTCTTCATTCGGTGGAAATATGTATTTTTCTCCACACAGTGGGCAAAATAATGCCTGCACATCATTTTATTTATTTTCAGATCAAGTCGTATCTTCTTTTTTGGCAATTTATTCTTCCTCTTGTTTTTTCTTTTTTCCAATTCTACTTTATGTATCAATGATTGACTTTTTGCCTTTCTTTCGCCGATTTTGAATCACAGTCATCCATCCAAGAAATGCCTAAGTTCGGCATTTCTTGGATGATACATCGTCTCTATTCATTCCTTACATGTCGTTTGCTGCGAAATTAATCTTTTAACAGCTTCTAGCTGTTCCTCTGTGACAACACTTCTATTTTATAATCGAGGCATTTTTTATGTATAATTAAACTCTGAAATAACAAATTGCATCATAAATACAAAGCCAAAGCGGAGCGGGGTATTGCGCACACTTACCATCAAAATAAAATTTAACCAGTATTAAAAATCAGGAATGAGTCTCTCAAAGACAAAAATCGCAATAATTCAAGCAAAAAACAATACTCACTTACGGAAACAAAATGGTTCACCGGCGGACAGCACTAAGCCTTTTGTGCGCTAATGAGGAGAGGTGTTATCAGTTCGTACCTATAAACCGTTTTTGAAATACTTCGAGTGCGTACACTTACTCGCTGCGCACACTTGCCCCACGTGACTCTACCTATTTTTTTTTTATTAACGGTATTAAAAAAGTGCAATCGGCAGCGGCAGCACTAATGGTATACGCTGCAGTATGATAACATAAGCATGAGATCAGATCAGTTAGTCTATCGAAACGAATTCAATTCATTAAATTCGAATCCATCGATTCACTATGTTGAGATCGACCTGACATGGCACATTGCTATATAGTAATCATAACCTACTAACTATCCCTTCCACTCTGAACCTATATTCTAGACCATTTACATTATCGAAAAATTAAGAACATTAACAAGTAGGTAGTACCTACTTGTTTATAACCTCGACTCGGATAAAAATTAGTCTATGTGCTTTTCCATCCCAGATACGTTTATGCCAAATTTCATGCCCAGTGAGCCGTTAAGGCGACAAAAGGTGCCAAACAAATTGACTTTCACATTTATAACAAATAATAAGGATTTGAAATTATAGTAAATATAATAATAAATGATATAGATACCTAAGTAATAACTAAAAAGTATAAGTACCTTCACGACTGCTATCCCCGATAGACAGTCAGATTAGACATAAATAAAAATCTATCGAGGCTGGGAGCGATGATATCGTCTTCTCTTGTATTATAACTAGATAGGTAGGGTAGTGTGGGTAATAATTATAACAGTTTAGTAGTGATAGTGCGCTTACAATAACAATATTTTCAATTGTCTTCGATAATAATAATACATCAGTAACAGCTGGAAATCGAAATACAATAATGAATTGCACGTACGCGACACAATGTCACCATGTTACCGTTTCCAGCGTCCAATGAACGTATAGATATTTTAGTAGGTTTTACGTGGCCACGAGTAGCTGAGAGAGGCCGCGACTCGCTGACTTCGTGCAATACCACCAGCTCTCTGGTCTAAGAACATATAGACACGCGCTGGGGAAAGTTAAATATTTATGTAGTAAATATATACGTAACTATTAGATAATCTGATATCATTAATTTATATTAGATAATCTAAGATAATTAATTTATATTAGATATAATAAGGAAGTATTATAGATTTGAGTATTATTATAACTCAATTAATAAAATGGCTATTAAAACAATTTTCTTTTATAAATATAAATACCTGTGTACCGGGTAACAGAGCAAGTATAAAAAAATACTCTGTAGAAAAGGCAGATGATAGATGTGTTATCACTGCAGGCAGTGATTATACTGATTTCTCGCATAAAGGTCCTGTCTCCATAGTAATTATGATATACCAAATTAAATTAACTTCAAACTTACTTTAAATACCTACATGATTATTTGTAATCAAGTCAAGCCGTCAGTCAAGAGCTACAATTTAGTAGCTCCAAACTCTTCTCGCGGATTTAGAGAGCCCTTAGCACTTGTCTTAATTTTCATCCGGTAAAGACATAAACAACAAGATAGAAATAATAGGGGAAAAAGGATATATTATATATTAAGTCGTAGTAATTATGTATACAAAATTTATCATTGCCTCAAATCACATTATGATCTATGGTACTGGTGAGTGGTGGTGAGCTAGATAAAAGCTTCATCATAGTCGGGTTAAAACTGAATTGCCAGACGTTTCCAGGTTGACAGGATATCTCAATTATTAGGCCAAAATTAAATGTCGCGCTATTACGGATGTTACGATCCTGATAAGCATTCTTTAAATTGCATGTTCTACTACAACTGTATATTTTTCAATAAGTTCGCGTCTTTGACCATAATATTTTAGGCCACATGTTCTTCTTCCACAGATATTACTAATTATGTATGTGTCTTTGTATGTCGCGCTTTCAACAACAGAGTGTCGCTTTTTTACTTAGGTAATGCCTATCTAAATCTCGCTTAGCCGAAAAAAATCTGGCATCCCTGGGTTAATCGGTAAAGTGACCCCGCTAATTACAATTGGTAAGACCAGAGTGATGGTCACATTGTCATACATGCTTTACGCGTGTCGAGTGGAGTGGCCATGAAATTGCCGCACGTCGAGGTGTGCTTGTCTATATGACACCCATAATTACGCGTCACGATTCTCAGCAGGAAGGTGGTGACCAAGAAAATGTTAATGACGACAGGTCAATATTACAGATGAGATGGTGTATACGTGTTAAAACTGATTTAAGCAACTATATGCATGAAAATAATGTAATATCACACCATATACTACGTTATATAACAATATCCGAATATGTAGTAAATTTAGGTACTAGTACTCTTCGTCTTCCTTGACTATTGTTTCGGCGTAAACCTAGGAAGTTTCTGAAATTTTTGTATATAACTAAATTATAAAAATAGGTAAGTGTGTGAGTAAACATAAGTTTTTTAAATAATTACCTACTTAATATTTGTTCCCTATTTACTTATGGCTCTCGTGATCGATACAAAATCAAGACGGAGTGCTATTGCTAGTTTTGGAAACTGGTTAAGTCACTACGAGTGATTTATTTTATTATGTAATTATGTCTTCTACTCTTTGATTTTTTTTTAATTTTAATTAATAAAATAATTAACGGCTAAACTTCACTCTCAAAATTTGACATAGGCATCGTAAACTTAGAAAGTATATTTTATTAAAATCTAAATTCAATTAAGATAATTTGTAATCTACTTAATGTTCGTATAAATCAAATTCTTGCCCAAAATATTCATATCTACATATTCTGAGCGCTAGGTATGTACCCATAGTCATAATCATAGATTACTCACTTAAACTGTGATAACATAAGGTGTGATAGATATATATCTATATAGATACTTAATTATTATTGCCGACCGTCATGGTATTTACGTTTTTGAAATAGACTGCATTAAATTCTGGGAATACAAAGAATACCATTTCCATATGTATTTTTAACTATAGATAATGGTCATTATTTAGCAAAGTTATAATATGCCGGTGCCTCTATTTATTGTTAAGCCGTTCCTATATCTGCTAGCAGCGAAGTTTCGATAAAAAAAACAACAACACAGTCACCGAGTTCGGTGTCGTAAAGTAGTTGCCAGTTTTGTTTGGGCTTATACAGTGTTACGTTGCGTTGCTTGGAATTTAATATTGTTTTCGCAACTTTAATTACCTACATCCACGCCATGTCTTACGCGTTTATTATTGTTGTATCCGTGGCGATCACTTTGAAATTATTATTTTTATCTTTTTCCATGTTTTTCACATTTAAAGGGAAACGACCTTCAGAAACAATGGTAAGTACCTCATTCATTCATCCAACTCTATTAATATTTTAACCTAATTGATTCAATTTTCCGAAATATTTCTTTGGTTTACATGTCTTTTAGGCTAACTATAAACAGGTATCTAAAACTAGCCAACCTAATTTGGGTAGGTTAGCTTTTAGGTAGGGTAGGACGCACTTATTGCACAGGCGTATGCAATAAGTGCGTGCACTGCAATTATTTCTCTTCTAAATATAGATATACTTAATATATTTATCTCTACCGGCCCGTTCACATATAGGTAGGTACAATCATCGTTAAAGATTAGTAATCTCGTACGGAAAAAACTTTTTTAGTACCTAATATAGGGACTAAAAATACCTAGAGAAGGCCAGAACTGTAGGTACCATGTCAAATTCCTGCTGAAATCGCAACCATGGGCTAATTGACCTGACAGATTTCATCCACGACCCATCATTATCCCACACCTGACCCTTAATTTAGGCTTAAAAAAATGTGGTACCAACGGTTGAGTGTTTTAGGCAGCATCTAAACCTGACCAATCGATATAAGTATCAACGAAATCCAGTAAGATATCACATAACAACAGTAGCACACATCACATAGCAGTGGTCAGTTGAAATATATGTGAATACTGGTACTTACATATATACTATTAGAAATACTTACCTAAATACATTTTTGTAAATACTTGCATAATAGTTATACCTACCTAGAAACTACAAATGGTCAAGACTAATTCAAACAATCACAATTATGAACACAAATATATGTATCTAGGAAGGAATCAAACCTGCGACCATGAAATGAGATGACGATGATAAGCGGTATAAGTTCAAGTTCAAACACTAGGATTTTCAACACAATAGGAGCGCTGTCATTTTCACAACTTGCAAATAGAAATACATACCGATTTCAGATACCTAATTATTATTTTATCTTGAATCTAATCTCAATATCGATTGAATTCACTCCAGTTTTATACGGTACGGTACTCTAGTAATGCAAACAAGAATACCTACCGAATAAATCGATTACAATGTTGTTTAGTTCATTCTACACATATCCACTTAATACTGAACTCAATTGCACTTACATTTAACAGAAAAGAATAAACACTAATGTACACTATCGTATATTGTTTCAAACTTTCTGATATATAACATAAAAATTAATATATAAAAAAAAATATATTCATGTTATACGTAGGTATATTTAGTTTTTTAATTTTAAATATACATTTTAATATCGCCACCGTATTAGTTATTGTATATTGTATATTATAGTATATTGAGTCGTTGGTAACCAATTACTTTGATGAATTGAATGTAGGTATGTAACGTATATCCTGAAGCTATACCTAAGTGCCTAAGTTAATTTAATTATTATTCACATGAACTTAACTTTTTTATTTATGAACTAAACAAAAAAGCGTTAAATTGGAATGCAGATTCAGCCAAGGATAATGAGATCTTGCCTGTCGCACTTTGAAACGAATGCATGAATGAACATTACATTTTTAAGATTTGAATAAATATTTTGTGTTATATAAATAAAACATAGTACTACCACTCAAGCGTAAAATGCTAAGTTGTTCTTTATACTTATTCACGAACAACATTGCTTGTTGCAGCCCGATCAGGAGACTACGAGAACTAAGTCTATGGCGATATCTTGGAGGCAAATACCACGGATGTTGTTACCCAAATCATTATACTGCAATGATGTCAATAGTAGTAATACATATACTAATAAATTATGATTAACATAAACCTATTCTGCTGTATCAGTAGGTATATCTACATTCCTACATATATTTTGTTATTCTTACACAACTGAGAATATTTGTCATTGTAGCTATTGACGCGAATTTTAGTTGAGAAATTAGAAAAAAAAATCTAGTTTATGTGAAAAAAATACATCTAGTTATGGGGCCAATACACCATTCAAAATTAGTGTATTAAGCATAAAAAATAGTCGAACATAAACTATTTGAATTTGGTTGATAATTATGATATTGGTTGGCCAACCTACTATATCGATCTTTACTGAAACGAAAAAAAATCAATAATATAGCTAGCAGTGGTGAATTTCGTCACAATAAAAAAAATATTTCGAATTGTTTTATTGTTTATAAGCATTATTCTAATTATAATTATAATTTTAAGGAATATCAAAAACTAATATTATAAAGAAGACATGACGTGGCCAAGCTACCAGCAACAATTCAAGATACATTTTTTTTTGTTTTCCTACATGGTTATTGAAGAAATTTATCGCAACAATATATATTTTATTTTTTAATTAAATATGATAATAAAGACACTAATAACATTAGGCAAATATATGGTTTATTGTCAGCTGTGAATTTTTACATATTATGTAATATATGACTGTAGAAAAACCTTAAATATATTAAATATTTCATACCTATAAAATGTAATCTACTTTAATAGATTATATACAATATTATACATTATTTACATAATAAGTTGTATTATTTGGTTCACTAAATTATTTTTCTACTATAATTAGGAGAGTATGTCTTTGTATGGATATTGAGCTAGTTATTATTTAAAATCTTCAACTAACAGAAAACTCATTTCTCTAACAGCTGATGGCCATGTAACAGTCTTTTTTTGTAAATCAAGTTTTAAATTTTTATTTTTATACTGAAGAGCTTTTTTCACAAAAAATCTGTTAAATTCATGGACATGTGGATGACTAGTATACTCTGATATGCACATCCATTTGCAATCTTTGATTTCTCTTGAAGAAGGAATTATTTCTTCAGAGAGCGCTCTCATTGTTAACAGCACATAAATATCAGAATTGCCATACATCATGTTGTGTGTATGTCTGAATGTCACCAATGATATAAAAGCAGCATCCACTCCAGTTTCTTCTTTTACTTCTCTTACGGCTGCCTCTGCTATGTCTTCACCTACAACATAAATGTATTTCACTATACATAATTATATTTTTATAAATGTTTCAGTGCCAACTATTTGAACTTTTGATATTACAAGTATTGTATTTTTGGTACCCAAATTATTAAGATAATTTGTTAAGATTTCTTACTTCATCAACATCCTCATAATTTTTACTTCAATATTTTTTCATAAGAAAAAAGATAGTAATTAACTACAACTTTTTCAATTCTCGATACAATATAGATATTAAACACATAAACATACTTGTTCTATAAAAATAAGCTTTAGAAATGTGCACAAATGCACATATTTCTCTCTGCTCTCTCTTGCTCTCATAAAACTTAAGGACATCGAAAGGAATATTAATATATATATATTCTTAAATAAACATTATTGTGACCTAAATTTAACATAAATGTAATAGAATGCATATCACAAATATACCTCTTTCAACATAGCCGCCAGGAAGTTTCCAGTGTGGATATTCATAATAATTCTCTGATATTGCAAGAATCTGGTCTCTATCATTGAAAACCATTGCACCCACACCTAAATTTGTGTGAGCTGGTGGTGGCAGATTTGGCACAAACTCCGCTGACAACCATTTGTACATCATCACAAAGTCATCTCTGGCATGGTGAAAAGTAAATCCTTTCTAAGAATGTGAAGCCTTTATTAAAAATAAATTATCAGTAATTAATCACAATATTATTATGTAATAATAATAACAAAATAATTATTTATATTTTACTTACATTTGCTAGTATGGGTACTTGGTATGAATCCTTTATGTTTATTCTGAACCATATACATCTTTTTTTTTCTGCATTCCATTTCGTGAGTGATTCTATGATAAATATACATTAGATGTTTGAAAGTTATTCAAGTGAAGTGACTCATTAATAAATTTTGATGAAATTAGTTTCAAACTGTACTATAAAAATCTTGAATAAAACTACCAATTTTAATTTGCTTTGTTAAATTCGACTTATTAATCAAATTCTTTGAATAAAATATTATTTATTTTGAAGGGATATTAATCTACTTACCATGAAGCTTCTCAGCAAAGACATGTTGCTGACATGTTTCTTTGTTAGAGTCAACGATTACACCATTAAACTTGTCCACTTCACCAATAAAAGTAACTTGCCGTGGTTGATTAGAATATTTACAAGACCTGAAATTTATATACTATTTAAAATATAAAAGTAGTTAGCTGGTAATAAGAAATAAACTATTATACAATTACTTCTCTATGTTCGCAAGCACTTATATTTATTCAGGCCCTAAACATCATTATTTCAATCATTCACAGTTTACTAGCGAACTACTAGTTTATCCCATAGTAGTAGAGCCATATCGAGTGGTGAAATGAATGTGGCTGATCACCACTGTCCATGTATATCATATGGTCGCTCTAAATAGCTAGGAGTCGCCACTGCGAACCCAATGTTTCATTACTTAATTTAAAAAGTACACTTGCACCTAATGATTTAATATAAATCGAAACCTTACCTGGATATACAGGGTCTATATCTATTAAACAAATTAAGAATATTAAACATTTTCAGATTTTCAAACAATGCAACTAAATTGGAAACTAATTTTACAAATAAAAAAACAAAAGGGTTTTAATTCTTTAAAAAAGTAATATGTTATTACATTTATAATAAAACAAAATGTAAATATAAAATAGAGTTGTAAAATTTGCAAATTGAACTTTGATTAAGGTAAGAGCACAGATCCGTTGTAGACGTAAAGACACAGAGACTTAACTAGTCTTTGGTCTACACTGTCTGACATTGTCATTATTTGATATTTCGGCAGGGTATAGCACATTGTCATTTTCTATTTGCAATTTGTTCAAGTTTTGATCATTGAATTTCGCCAAACAATATATTATGTATTTCCGTATTTTATTCAATTAATATTTTCTGATAATAATTCTTATTATTATATATAATACACTGACAATAAAATAAGTATATATCTACAATTAAGTAATAACGGATTAAGTTTTAAGTTTACTTCTGAAGAAAATAAATCTTTAAATATAGTTTTAAATTACACTTTATAAAATGAGTGTAAAGACATTTAATGGCAAATTAGATAGATACAATGGTGTCACAGTAGATTCTGAAATTGAAAAATGTGATTGCGAGAAATTTTCAAACCAACTTTGTGGTAAGTATTTTGATATAAAATACTTAGTAATAATGTCATCGTATCTTAGAAGATACGACAAGGTTATGGATCAAGATTACTTTAAATTTTTATCTTTACATAGTATAAAAAGAAGTCACTTCCGCTGTGTGCTTAGATCTATAACGCAATGGATTTTAATGTAGTTTTAGCTATAGATAGAGTGATTTAAGAGGGAGTTTTTTTATGTATAATTCAAGTGTGAAACCGCGGCGGGTTGTTAATATAAATAAACATGGCCAGATATCACATGTTCTCACATATGTAAAATAGGATAATATAATATACATTAAATTTTGAAACTGGTGTTATGCTAATGTATATGGCAGAGGGTGATAAACTTTTGTATTTATGATGATTGTTTCATAAATCTGCATTCTCTTATTGCTGTTTTACCAGAAAGGATATAGAACCAGAGGTCAATTTAGATTTGGTTTGTCTAAAATAATGTAATAAGCATATATTGGGACTTCACATTTTATTTAAAACTCCAGTCACATTAGTACAAAAAAGTTAATAGAAACCCTATACATAGCTTATATGCTGTATATTTAGTGCATATCCCTTTATAGATAGACATCTATGCCCTACTGTGTGTTATTAAGTAATGTATTGGTATGTTAGTTTTATCCAGTGATAAGCTAAAAATCTGTGACTTACTATTGAAATTCACTATCTAAACTCTAATACATATCTATTACTAATATTTTATTACTAAGTTATTGCACAATTATCACCCTCCAAGTTATAAACCATGAAAAGTAATAATAGTAACCTAGGACAGTTCACAAAATGCCATATAGTCCCAAGCTAAGCATAGGTTGTGTTATGGGTACTAAACAACAGATTGAAATATTTATCTCTTTTACCCATGGTAACAAAATCACTAACATCATTTTGGTGGAAGCCATTCAAATTAAAAGAGAAAGAAGAAATAATTAAAAACTTTTTATTGGAAATGATACATTAAATTATTCAGAGCATAAGCAATAAAAACAATCATTCTCATGAATACAAACTTTTTTTATAATAAAACATTCAATTTATATGACATCCTGCAATCATAAGAAATTGTATTCCTCACTGCCGGCCCTTTGAGGCTGTAATATGAAATTGTAATATTTTATAAATGTAAATATTAACTGAAATGTAAAGAAATATATTGTACTGTACCAGCTAAACCTGCAAACATAGTTTTGCCATATAAATTAAAATTGCTTTTAAAAAATAGTGGTTGATGGTAGAATGGTGAAATTTGTCTCTTATGAGGTTGTATGTATTTTTAATACCACATTATAAAAATGTTAAAATATAAAATTTGTCGAAAAAGTATTAAAAAAGTTTTTGGGGTAACCCACCCTTAACACTTAGGGGTAAATAAACCTATTCTTAGACCTACTGAATATACATATAAAATTTCATCAAAGTTGGTCAAGTCTTATTTACACTTAGTTAAAATTAATAAAATTCAATTACAGCATCACTTCAGAAATGGTCTGAAGAAAAAAGGAGATGCATTTGGTTCAGAGTTTATATAAAGGATGCTGCATGGGTTCCTCTGCTAGCTAAGGTAATATTTTACCACATAATATTTTTTAATATCATGATATTTTTAGTGAAGAGAATTCAATCCTTATGTTAGCATGTATATATTTTACTTATGTATTGTTTCCAATACATTCTGCATGTTTGTGTCCCTGCTGTTTGACCCTATTGTCATTATTGTATATGACTGTACCCAGCTGGCCCTGCAGAAGAATTTTTGTACCAGGAGAAAGTTTTTTTAAAATAATAATTGCTTAAATATGATAAGACACACAATTGTAGGTGGAAAATTATATCTCAGAATCACATGTTGCCATATATGTTAGCATATGTTATAATAGCAATAATAATAATAATATTATTTTATGGGTGTATACTGGGAATAACTGTTTTGTGTTTATTAACATGTTTTTGGCATTATGTTACAAATGTAAGATATTAATAGTTATAAATATGTATTTCTTTACAGGAGGGTTTTGACTTCCACCACTCTAGGAACAGTTTTGTGATGATGTATAAGTGGTTACCCACTGACAGTACATCTAATCTCCCTCCAGCCTGTCACACAAACATAGGAGTTGGTGGAATAGTATTCAATGACAAAAATCAAATATTAGCTGTTACTGAAATGCACACTGAATTTCTACATTGGAAACTTCCAGGTGGCTATGTCGAAAGAGGTAATATTATATGTAGAATTGCCAATAGTAAAAAAAATTGTAATATATGTGAACTTTTAAAATTATATTACATATTTCTTTTGATTCGTGGTAACAATTTTGAAAGATCCTATTTTCAGATCCAAATTAAATGTCCCGCGCAAAATAGGCCCCTTCTCATTAAGGGTATCTTTGATTTTCTATTATTTTTAGATCCCTTATTCCTGTTTCACAGGTACAGATTATATGTGTATGGCATACTCTGTAAAAAGGAGAATCCTGGTTTTAACTCATTAAATTCCACTTTGCATGATTAAAAACTGCTGAGGCTGCAAAACATATTTGTTCATGTAGGTTTGCAAAAAATCACTTGCATTGATTTATACAAATTGCTATGGGCAGCGGTTCATAACAAAGCAATTTGCAGTATCCCGTTCGTCAGATAGTAGGCACCACGCAGTTTATGATAGTCGTATCACTAGTCTCGTAATCCCTACGTTGATCATAATTGTTGATCGTAATCATAGTTTGTTATATCCTACCTACGCACTTAGTAATGAATAGCGTTAACTGTGAAATAGGTCGTAGTGGAACATTTTATCAATATCTAAAATTGTTAGAGTATCTTACAAACTTATTACGTTGAAAGAATATTTTGTTTTATAATATAAATTCACATAAATTCAGAGAATCCTATCTTGTCCCAATTTAAGCAAAGCTTGTACTACGGTTACTAAACAACCGATAAATAGAAGCAAATACTTACATAATAAACTTAGAAAACAACCAGTGCAAACAATCATACTAGTGAGGACTAATATTTATACGGTGCGAGGAATCGAACTCGGAGCAGCTCTAACTGCTAGACCATTGAGGCTATTCCCGTTATGTTTAACCTTGCTATAGCTCAATCCTAAAGGATACTTACGATTTCATGAGGTTTCTACTTTTCTTATACCATTGGACAAACAGGTTGACAGGTCCATGTAATATAAATGGCGAACGTTGCCTCTATACATGAACAGCACTACGCACATAACGCTATCATGTGACTCATACTACTAATGCATTGCTATTTCAGAACACTAAGATGTCATACCTCTTATCCTGTAATTTCACTGTCTTATCTCACCCTTCAATCGATAGACAAATTGCGTTATAGACCTTGGTATGATCACATCATAGGTACAACCCCCAATGCGTTTCTGAGTAGCAAAAAATAAAGTATGTTTAATCGAAAATACCATATGTATATCTTTTTTAGCAACTAGTATAAAGTAACAATATGGCGAAATTTTTACAGGCGAAGACTTAAAAGATGCTGCTATAAGAGAAGTAAAAGAGGAAACAGGCATTGACTCCGTTTTTGAAACATTGGTGACATTTAGACATGCTCACGACATGATGTTTGAAAATTCAGATATATATGCAGTAGTGTGTTTAAAGGCAACCTCTGACATTATAACAAAGTCCGATATAGAAATTAAAGACTGTAAATGGATGGACATAGAAGAGTTTTTGAATGATCCACATGTACATGACTTTAATCGCTTCTTAGTAAGACAAGCTATGGATTTAAAACAAAGAAAACTTAAATTGAACTTAAATAAAAGTACACTAAAAATAAATAAATGGTCAAAAGAAATGACTTCGCTTGTTTTAGAAGATTTTTAAAATTACAAACCTACCTGTAATGTACTGTAAAAAATCTTTTATTTAATTATTATTGAATAATGACAAAGTTTTTAGACAATGACGATATTCCATAAACACAGATATTGTAGGTAAATACTAGTACAAATTATTGATTATGATTTTGGCAGAGGTGGTATGCAGTTATATTTATAAGAGGTAGAACAAGCTAGTCGTAGATAGGGGTAACTATTTTTAGTACATTAAAAATTTAAAATTTTTCTATAATTATATGTATAGCAAATATCCTAGAATCAATTATGCAGCGTTTTAATGTTTATTTAGAGGTGTCATAATTTAAAATTCTTGAAATTTTGGAACCCCAAAAGACTTCCGATTACAATAGCCACAAAATTAATATACGATTAGATATTATTTCAAGAATTTTAAATTTGAATTCCTCTATAAGGAATGCCCAATAACTACTAACCATTCCGTACAATAGTAATACAGTAGACAGCAAGGGGGTTAAAATAGCCAATTTAAAGAAACTACTCTTATTGGATTCATTATAATATTCGTATTATAATTAATCCAATAAATCCTTACGAATTTTGCACTCAGAGCGCACTATTGCATTTATTTATTGAGTTTCATTGGTAGGATTTACAAATGGAATCTTCATTAATCGGATAAAGGTGTCATTGAATGTTATATTTATAGTACCTATTTGATCCAAGTGTGACTTTAATTTTGGAAATAAATATGTTATTACCAATTTCAATTGTGATGTATTTATTTATATTAGAAATTAAATAATTATGTTATCTTGCCTGATATTCTCAGAAATACAATGTGTATAAAATATTAAATTGAGAATTTAATATATTTACTTACGGAAAAAAGTGTTCTCTTTTCAATACCTAATCACACACTTGGGAACAACGCATCATGTTGCCGCGCAGCTGCGGTTTCAACATTGCAAATACCAGCTTGTATGAAAAACATATAACAAATGGACGTCAACTCTGCACGGTGATGAGATACCATAGCAAGGTTTCATTAATTGAAATTATAGAGGTCTAATGGCGAAATTACAATTCTTTTGAAGCATCGAAAAATCCTGCCAAATTTAGACTTAAAAATTAGTGGGAATGAATGAATGATAAGCTAGTTTAGTGCCGCTGTTTACTTTGCGTTGAGGAAACCTATCGTACTTAGTCGTCTGATACAGGATACACTCCAAATTTAATAACTTTCCGAACGCTGATTCTTATATAGATCATTTAACAATCAGCATTCCTAAATTTATTATATCTGATATAATAAGAAAGAGGTCAAGAAAAAAATAATACACAGGTGGTTACACTTAAGAACATTCAATGTTTTTAGTTACGATGACAGGCTGATAAGATCGCGGTCTCAGCTACTTAATGAAAGCAAAGTATAGATTAATATTTTTTTTATTTTTCAATATAATCCACAACCCTTAAGTGCAATACTTACAGTTTCTTACTATGAAAACAGTGTCTTAGTACTTATGAAAATTTTGTTTGTTTTTCTTCAAAATGTTTTTCTGCCTCCTTCATCTCATTTTGATATAAACCCCTTACCCATTTCTAAAATTTGAATTAAGGAATCAATGAGTCACTGGGTGCAAGTTCTGGACTGAAGAGACGTTCATCAATTTCTCGAATCTCGTAGCTTTTCTCGCAACCCAACTTTATCGTGCAGTACTCCGTGCTCTATTTCCTTTTCATATCACTTTTGTACCACTGTGTTATGTATGTCCCAGTAAAATAGCGTAGTAATGGCCGTTCACTGTACTCCCTTTAGACTATATACACTTGCAAGGAATCACCGTCAGTAGTCAACTTATGATACATCGCTAAATACCTGGGATAAGGTTAGATAAGCCAACAACTTATTAGCCTCTTGGACGTTGTCTAGATTTTAAACTGAAAAGATAATGTGACTGTGAATGTGACCGTGTAGGTAAATGTACCTATAGTGGCCGGTTATATGAAATAGGTGTTTTTATTAATAATTTTAAAAGTAATGACTGAGTAAGAGATTATTCTGTAATTACAAAGTTTTACTATTGTATATTAAATTAAAACAAGTACGATTAAAACGTTTTATTACTATGAACTTGTTCCATAATACCAAATAACTTTGTTCAATACTAACAATTGTGCTTTATTAAACAAAATTATTTCATTACATAGAATGTACTATTTTATTTTTAAAGTTTTACAATAGTTACTACGAAGAATTGCATTTACATATATGCAGATAATGTTATTATTACTCTAACACAAATAGCGAAAGGTTGCACTATTGTCAAAGAATGGAGGGGTAATGTTTTTAGCCAAAATTGGTTATATTAGTTTTAACAGTCATTTTTACAAATAATTAGTTTAAGAACGTTTAGAAAATGACATTATAAAATAAATATAGCGTCTAGAAACTGTAAACTAAGAAATTAGACTTTGACAAATTTAACTGTAAAATAGGACTATAACTTCTTTTATGAATATATACTTTTTTCTATTTTTTTTACAATGAATAATTTATTATTTCAAATCAATCTTAAACTTAATGTAGTAACATAATAGAAGTTTTTTTTTAATTTGCCAATTGTAATGGTATTGATGATGCAATTAAATAGAGAAGCGCTGCATTTGTATGGTGTATGCTATAAATTCATTTTGACAAATTGATAGTAGATAGTCCTGTGCCAATGCAAACATTTTAGTAAGATAACTCAGACAATCAGTCATAATAAAATCATAAAGTGAAAAGATAACCATAGGTAGAGCTGATCTCTATTTGAAACCACCTTACGAACTTTCTCATGAACTTCTTGTCAAATGGAAAAAATCTTGAACCACAAAAGATGTCATAATATGTATACATTATGTATTGGAACTGTATATTATTATGAAGAATCTATCTACTAAGTTCGTATTTTTTAATCTCAAACATGTAACTGCAGTACTACATCATATTTATTGGTATTGAACTTTGAGCTTTCCTGAACACACTGACAATTTGTAATTAGGGGAACTAAAACAAGCTCTACACAATATCATAATAGGATTTGATTTGTATAACCAGTCAAATATAAACCTCTTGTTGAGGGAGTAATATTAATGGACTAGTTTATTACAGGTCACACAAAATAAGAACTATTCTGACTGTGTCATAACAGTGTTTGCTTTGGATATACATTTTACATATGCCAGTATATTCTAACAATCTACTAAATAATAGCGCAGCAGCGCAGGCGACATCAATATACATCTATAATAAACTTTCAATTAATGTAAATCCCTATGTTTAATAATTGCATGTTAAAGATGATAAGTGAGTTACAATAACACTAAAATACCATCAACTCAAATAGTAAATAAGTCAGTAGTCAATATCCATCTATAAAATTTAGGTGCCCATGGTTCGTAAAAATATTCTCTATCTGTAATTCATGCAGTGTTAAAAATAAATAAAATTGTATAATATAATAAAGATTAATATATTATTATGATTAATATACTTATTGAAAAAATAGGATTACTAAAACTGAATGTTTGAATGAAAACAGCTTGGGCTGATATGTAGATGGAAACATATACAATCCTATATAATAACAATTTATAGAAATTATTTCAATCTAAGTCAGGAACTGTATTGCGGCCATATTCTCCCTCTTCGTCAGAACTATCAATATCACCAATTATAGATTTGATGAGACCCCCGAACACAGAATTTGAATTTCTACCAGCTGATGGAACTTCTATTCCAAACCAAATACGCCCAATGTTGTCTAAATACAAGGAGTAGTTTGGGTCTCTTTTTAAAGTTATTGCATACCAAATCCGTAGTATTTTAAATTGATTTGCTTGTTTCCTGAAAATAATGTGTTTTTAATATAAATTATTTTTTATGTCTACTATGTTTCAATAAAAATAATATCATATTCAGATCATGAAAAAAGCCACTTGAATCACATTATTAAAGCAACCAGCATATGCAACTACTCAAGAGCACCAGCTTTCAAATTAAAAAAAAAACCCATATCATAATTTCTATCCATTGTATTTAAAGTATAATTTATTATTAATCAAAATCATAGCACTGTTGGATCTGCTTGACCATCAGCAAGCCAACTAACCATTTCTAAAAGTTCTATTTCTGGTTCATAATAAAAAAGTATATATAATACACTTACTGTTCAATAGCTCGCAATAGAAACCAGAGGAAATTCAATAATGGCAATATATATGGTGGACCACTATCATTTCTTATAGTAGGATGTGATGCTGTATATTCATCAAATGTTTCTATAGCCATTTGAATATTTCTTAGGCAAAGAAATCGCAATACAGCTTGTGCTATAAATAGGTCTATCTCAGATTTGAGGCCTCTCTTTGTGTGGAGTTCTATAAGCATACTAGCATATGCAGCTCCATCATTTGAATGTAAAAAGTGTTTATGGGCAGCAATATATTTCTTTTCTGCCCAGCATATTTCAGCTATTTTCTGAAATTAAACATTTTTGCTGTTAAAATTAAGTCAACAATGTATTTTGAAAACTACCTATATTTCTTAACATACAGTTTATGGTGGTATCATAAAAGAAAGTAAAATTTATAATGACTTTATTTATGTAAGTGTAATATACTAATTATTTGTTGACTGTCTATTTCATTTACATAACAATTATTACCGACCTCACATAACTATCACCTATATATATGAACAGCACTGTACTTATGTGTTATCATTCCAGAGGACTAAGATATCATAACTCATATCCTATATTTTCACTGTTTAATAGCACCCTACAACCAAAACAACATACTAAGCAAACTGCTTGGAGGCTGAAATATGAGACTAGAGGTTTTTTACAATCTAGCACAGGTAAGTGCAGCAGTTCCTTTGGTCACTTTGCCATCATTTAACCATTGCATATTCAATATCAAATACCTATTGTTTTCACTACAATATTAACACACAAAGTCTCTAATATTCTATTTTTTAATAATCCATATATAATTATAAATGTTGATTACATTCATTATATATCTATATAGACTATAGCAGAATAAAACTTATTTGATCACAAGTTAGTACAGTACAAGTAATTATTATATATAACATGTCTTACCTTATGAAGTAAGGGATGACCCTTCTTATTTGAATCCATTGACCACTTAACTGCATTTGCCAAATAAGTTTCTCGTTCTGGTATAGATGAACTCATCATTTCAAACAGATTTGCTATTTTTTCGATCCATTCTTCGGATGGTTTTGTTTCTGACGTACTTAGAACGTTGATTAGCAATATTGCCAAATCTGCGCCGCTACCTTGTTGTTCATGTTGCAAAAGAACCGTTGAGCCTTCATACAATAAATTTAATAATTCCGGATATTTTTTTTGGGTCAAATATCTGAAACATATATTTATAAATAAATCAATAGTGTCTCTTGCACAGCAAGATCTAGAATTGTCTATTCGATCTTATACGACACATTCACTATAAATATTTTCACCTGAAATATAGCGTTCTATACATTTGATGTGCTTCATAATATTGGCCAGAATTCACAGAAGCTTCAAGCTTATCTAAAACTCTCATTACACCCCTTTCTCCACGGGTAGCCATAATGATTTTACAAGAGAATATCTTTAAATTCCTATACACTTCTATAATTTACGCCATCCATAGCCACATTTTTACGAAATGTCAAATCTGTCTGCTCATCATACAGTAGAGATGTTGTTAAAGAAAAAGCATAAACTTAAGTCTGCTTTTAAAGCAGTATTTAAGCCATAATGTGTCGTTTAAAACTAATTTTATTTAGTTTGACTGACAAATACAGATGTTGCTTTCTTTGTTATGCAATGCGTTATAGATGTCTGTCAGTATTCTTACAATTTTGTTATTTTATATAGTGCTCGACACAAAGTCTTTACATGTTTTTCAGATATTTCATGTTGCAGTGTTTGTGTGGTAACTTTTGCAAATTGAAATATGTAATAAAATCAATAAGACAGTGACATTTATATGCTTCAATATTCCATATTATTAGCTAATTACATTTAATATGGACATAAACAAAGCATTAAACAATTAAAGAAACTGATTATTTTTAACGTCATAGTAATATCTTAAGCATGCTTTGCATAATATGTTTTGTGTTCGTATGATTAATCGATTAGAATTTATACATCGGTAAAGAAAACATCTTTACCGATGGAATCAAAATAATATAGTACGCAGGTCAAAGCGATATGAGGCAACTCATTTCTCAATAATTTCGGTCGATGATTGCGATTGAAAGCAGAACACTAAAAGACTATGATTGAAAACATAAGCAGCGCTACCGTTACCAACTCATTAGATGGGTCACTTGTGCGATGAAGTGTACCTCAAGAATCTATTCTTAGTCCATTTTTATTCCTAGTGTACATTAATATTTTTCCGTTTACCATACAGCTGCGGTATAATAGGTATATTTGCAAATGATACTTCATTGATTTTTGAAGTTGATATAATAACTAATAATTATTATGAAGTAAGCAGTGTTTTGCCACGTCTCTTGTACTGGTTTATAACTAACAACGTTATGTTAAACATTAAGAAGTTGGTCTTCAGCCGCTCCATAAGTCCTTCCGCGGGTTTGGAGTGCCATATACACTCGCCACCTATCGTCCAGTGAAGCTGTAAAGACCTGCTGCAGCCAACAGCATTAGGGTAGTCCTAATAATAAATAGAAGCTAATAAAACAAAATATTTTAATTTTTTTCTCACAAAAAGTCCATTTCAAACATAAAATTTTACTTTAGGTATTGTTAGACATAGGCATATATTTATATATATGCCAATTTATCTCATTATGTACTTATGTATATAATGAAATAAATTGGCATTTAAAAAAAATATTTTAGTTTCTTACCAGTTCTTTTCAATTGTATTGTACATTGGACTGGACAGTAGAGAGAAAATATTATTTACCTACAAAAAAAAACTTGTCGTTCTCAAGGGGCTTGACGTTCGTAAAGTGGAGAGGAATGGGATTGTTAGTACTGTGGACTAATGATCCCATTGCTAGCAATGTACCATGTCAGGTAGACCTCCACGCGGTTCCCCCTGGAAACCATCGTGATAAATTCCCAGTGAATTCTTCTTCATGTTCGTTCCATCATCCTCCACTGGGGCCCCGCCAACATAAACAATTAACGCAAGCGGGTGAACCATTCCATTATCCTCTAAAAAAAAGTGGCTAAAGTGAATTAATTTATGATTTTGAGTTATTATTGTTTTGAATTATACAGGAGAAAGGTAAGGCTTACAAACAAAAAAGGTAGTTTGGAATGTTACAAAATTACTGTAAAGGGAAAATCGATCTAGTTTCCAGTTTCATCATAAACTTGAGAAAAGGAAGAGATAAGAGAGAATAAATAAAGAAAAGATAATGTCACTATTAAGCAACGAATATGTTATTACAGATACATAATATTTAAATATTACAAATATTTATTTTTACCAGCTATTTTATTCCGATATTATTCTTACACCTCCACCCGAAACAATCTTTAAAACATTTTCCTTGTGTCTAAACATATTTCAAGTAGACAACCTTCCATATAGAAAAAGTAAGTACCTAGAACCCACGATGTATTGGGCAATGGTAAACATCGGTAAATAATGAATGCCACGAGGATTTACGCAGGTGTAAAGAAAAGACATTGTTCTGGGACGGCGCCCCTAGGGAGGGTTTTATTTTATTCATAGACGAGAATTTCGTATCTCGATGTGGGTACGTGAGAAGCTGTCTAAAGTTGACCCTACAGGTATGTATACCTATAATTATATACAAATATTCTATAAAAGAACATCAAACAAATAATATACGTATAGTCAAAATAGACCATTTTAGCATTAATATTCTCAATTCTTTTACTCTAATTGAATGTTTAGGACAATTAAAAAAAAATGTATGGTAACGTACAAAGACATATCTAAAAAATATTGAATTATTAGTCTTTGTAGTATCATAGAACCCAAATACGCAGTTATTTTTATTTTAAGGTAGGTACTTTGAAGATCAGATCAAGAACATATGTTCATACTAATTGCTACCTATATATTATGTTCAACGTTCGTCGACATCTTTGTAGAACATATGAATATACCTACCTACCTACGTAAAAGAATTATACATATATATAGATACGTAGGTATAATTATCATGTTGACACCTACTTACATCAAAATTATTGTTTAAAACAGAGATCTTTCATCTTTAGCCGCGCACATTCTAACTTATCTCCGCGGGGTCGTATTTAATTAAAACTCTGTTTAGGAGCGGAAATAATATTAATATTACCTTCCCACGGGATAATTGATATATTTTAATAGAATAAATTTCATTTAATTTTGGTGTTCCGTAAGACAAATCTACTTATAAAAAGTAAAAGGGTTAAACAAATAATTTTACAGTTTGTGCAAATTGTATCCCCGGTACTAATAATTATTTGTGATTATGACCTCCATTTTAAGTTAAATATTCTAAAATGTCTTCTCAGAGTCTATAAATATTAATTGTACATTAATTAATGAAAAATATTTTTTTTATTTGTTTCAGATAACAAACAATTACAATTTCGGAATATATAAGCAATAGGTGCATCCTCTCTGCTATTCTGTTATAACATTTATCTGTAAAGTATTACAACACAAAAGTAAACGACGACAATAGAATCTAATGTAAGTTTAAAATTGTACCCTACTGATAAACTTATTCAATAGGTATTAAAATTTGAAAAACCAATAATAAAAATTTATTGACCTTCACTATTCCTTCAAATCTAAACATATACCAAAAATTCTTTTATAATAAGAAATATGTAGTCCTTAATCACTGGAAATTTTGTTGTAGATACCCGACTGCAGTTAGAGGACAAAGAGATTCTAAGACCTATATCAAAAGCTAATAGACAGATTTTCGTTTTTGATATAATATTAGTATGGTTTATTAATATTTCTGTAATTGACAATACAAGTGTTGGTAATGTTATAATCGTGAAAGCGGGTCGAACTGTCCATTTTTATTTCATTTTCAAGTCTAAACAGCTAAACGACCTTAGAGTTCGAAGTGAAGATAGAATACCTACATTGCATACGTATGTATGCAATGTAGGTATTCTATCTTCTATCCTATCCTATAAATAGGCTATACATGTCCCCGTTTAAGATCTAGTAGACTATATATACCTACATATATAATATACAACAGTACCTACAAAAATAACTAGAGATCTGAAGTTTTTCTAACATTCGTTGGACTTTGTGGTGACAAATAAGCGCAAAATGTGTTGTATCAAAGTTTCTAAACAGTACATGGTACAGTTAGCCAAGTTATTATTAGATACGTATCCTAACTTTCATATTATATTTTGGAACAACGACGTGCAAAATATATATCAAAGAGAATAAATAGAAGTGACGATCTTGTGTCACAAGGCTTGTGACAAGATTTGAAAACTTATTAAAACATTAATTTATATTATCAAACTTTCGCGTTCCTACGGGAAATATTAGATTAATAAATAACTAAATGATTATAATTCCAAATAAATAATGAAACACCTTATTATCCGATTCGGTCCGATCTCTTTTTATTATTATTGTTTTATTTCAATTATTCCGACTCCGATAACAACTTATACTTAGTATATTCAGTTGTCATTTAGGACACTCCTTCTCACTCCCAGTGCCGTTCCTACCTATTTCATTTATATTAGATCAATAGTCTTCTTTCATTAGATGTTTTTACGCGCAGCCATCAAAATTTTATTAGCTGAAATTGATTATTTACAGGGATTTAAAGAATTTACGAGCCCGAATCCCTGTCATCTTTGCCTGAATAGGTAGATTTCAAAAAGTCACGAAGCGTTCCACAACCTTATCAACGTGCAACTTATATTTATTTCAAAATTTATAATCTGTAATCAAACAAAAATCTTTTAAACTAAATATCTTCTTTCTTATGATATTACAATTCGTTCTGTACAGAATTCAGTGTAAACACTAAATGAAATATTGGGCCAGGGCCCTATTTGCTACTTATACTAAGTTCTGTAAATCGGTAGTCGGTATAGGTTATATAAAACCCCTATTCATAATGACCATGCTTTACTTGTATCCATTTAAAATATGTTAATTTAGTAATATGTTTGCGTAATTTACCCCAATTTGTATGGATCTTTAATATTTATTTCCGTCTTTATTCACTAATTTGTTTATATATGATTAAATACTGATAGGTGATAATTTTAATACCCGGAAATGGGATGGATTAATACCCGGGGGGAAAAGGGATTGAAAGTAATGTGGACTGATGACCTTATTGCTAGCAATGTACCATGTCAGGTTGACCTTCACGCGGTTCCCTCTGAAAACGTAATAAATTCGAAAGAATTTATCACGATGAGCTAACTGACCTGACCTTATGCTCATCTTATCATCCTCCACTGGTGACCCGCCAGCGAAAACCGTTAGTGCAGGAGGGTGAACCATACCATTATCATCCATTAAAAAATAAAATAAAAATGACAGTCACATGAAAAGAGCTTATAAATACCACAAAATACAATAAATGTAGTGTTATACCATATAATATGTAGCAGTACATCTTATTGTTCTTTGTACAATCTTTCTCAGTAGTGGGGATATCGAAA